GAGAGAGAGAGAGAGAGAGAGAGAGAGAGAGAGAGAGAGAGAGAGATTTCATGAAACAAGGTCTTGAGGAAGTTTGAGAATAGGTTGGTGACTGAGCAGAGCTGGAGAACGTTCCAGGGTGAGCAGAAAGTGGGACTGACTCACTAGACACCTTGTGCCTAGTCAGGAGGATGCTGCTGCTTGTGTGGTCTTCTTGTTCTCTGTAGTGTTTTGGACAAACAAGTTCTTTTTGTTTGCAATTAGTAGAGGCCACTCTTGATGACTTTAGTAATGTCGTAAAGAGCACACGAGAAGTTAATAAGTATGTACTACACAATTAGTGAGACAGTGTAGAAAATACCAAATTTTTGACTATGGTGTCAGACTAATTGAGAAAGGGTAGAGTCCAGATCAAGCACTTGCCAAGGTGGTGTAAGCTAGTCCATTGCACAGTGGGGGGTTGCTGTGGGTGTGCTCCCATTTGCCTCCACAAGGGAGGGCCTGGCCTGGCCTGGCCAGGAGTCTATTTTTCCCCTTGCTTTGTGAATGGCTTTCTGAGGTTGCTGTGTTTCATGCATTTTCCCAGTTGTTCTGCTCATGCTTTCTCCTCCATTGTTATCTGAAATCTTTGCACTCAGACCTAGGCACATTTTGCTGTTCTTGCAGATGAGTGTTGGCAACACTGAAAAAAAGAAACTATAGAGAGCCTGGCGAGAATGAGACTGCCCTTTCCCCTCCTGACCTTTAAGACTCCTGCACAACTCCTGAGGATTAGAAGCAACTCTCTCCTAAGTCTTTAGTAAACTATTAGGGACTTTGTTAGTCATGGGATCTTTGTCAACTTGGACAAATAGGTGTTTGTGAATCCTGTTTATTTAGTCATGTAGATTCCTGGATTTTGATGGTTCTTTGCAGTAACTCCTCTCTCTGAGTCTCTGCCTGTTGCCTGGGAACCCGTACTTGAACATGAAGATAGACATTACTCTTCTGGGCACATAGTTAGGGAGAATAGTGACAGCTAGACCCTCAGATGTTTATCAGTAAAATATGCATTAAGTAGAAATTAAGTGGAAGTCATATAGTTAAATTGCTAGGTTATTTGAGATTTGGGGATGCTCTTCTGTGTTCTAGGGGTACTGTCTTCAATATTGTGTATGTACCGCCCCTTACTTTTAAGTCAGGTAGTATCCCTGTTTACGGAGGGCACACCTAGAACAGTGTGTAGTTGGCCTTCCAGGAATGGATGCGGAGTGGAAGGTCATTAGGAGCAGGGCAGCACTGTCTGCTTGGGGGCTTCACCGCTTCTCTGTGTGCTTTGTTTCATTTTTTCCTTGCAGGGCTGCTGTCTTGCTGATTGCACATGGGGCAGAGCTGTCTGCTGTACACTTAGCTCCTTGTTTCAAGAACCTGGAAGAGACTCCATTATCCATCTGTCAGCTGTATCTAAAATTAAAAGGAAAAAACCACGAAGTTAGAAATCTCACAGCCAAGATAACTACAGCTTTGTTTCAGGTTAACTGCTTTTCTCAAGTTGTTTCACCAAGTAAGAGTCGAACAAATGGCATTGTTTGATGATACTGTGTATGAATGCATTGTGATCGCGTTTCACAACACCAAGTGTTAAAAAGGGCTCTTAAGCCTTCAGTCTTCATAGACTGGGAGAGTCCACACAGGCGGGGCAGCAGAGCTCGCGTTCACATTGTGGCCAGTGTGCTAGTGTCTAGAGGCAGTAGGAACAACTCAGGACAGGAGTCTTAATTTATTTTTGCAGAATTAAGGTCAGGTTATAAACATTTACAAGGCTTAATCTTACTGGTTTTTCAGATTCAAGAAATACTTGAGAAACTGTGACTTTTAAGCCTGCATCATCATGCATCATCATTCACGCTGCCTAGCTAGCGTGCAGGGTTTCTTTGGGTTGATTTTTTTTTTTAAATACTATAATAGTTTATTTTTACATCATTTTGTGCCTTTTTCCATCTCATTTGTAATCTCTTTGGGTTGATTTTAATCATTATGATAAATGTAAGCAGCAGCATATCAACAGAAAGAAGGGAAACCTGAAATCTGTGTAAGCGGTTTGCCAAAGCACGTTGTGTCAGTGGGGTTCCTAGCAGCTCAGGCGTCGCGAGGCTCCACCTCATGCAGGGAACAGTTTACCTTAGAAGGACACATTGGTGGTTTCTGGGTTTGTATTATTTCCTTTTTCCTTAAGAGTTATTTATTTATGCATACAAGAACTGGGGGGTACAGGCCAGAGGCCCAGTGGGGTGAGAGGTAGTGGGGATCAGAATAGGTGGGTCGATGGAAATACTCTGCTGAGGGAAGCAGTGGGGAGACAGGAGCGGCCTGCTGCGCCCTGTGGGTCAGCAAGCTGGCGGGATCTTTCTCATGTTGTGATGCCTGCAGGTAGCTTCATAGTGCTGCTGTTTAACCCCTTGCACCACCAGGGAGGCCCGGGGTTGGGCATTCTGAGTAAAGCTGCTTGGAACCCTCGTGACAGGTTTTAGTATCAACATGTTTTCAGTTTTTAGGGTAAATGCCAAGGGGTGTGGGTGTTAAATTATAGGGTTAGTATCTGTTTGACTTACTAAAATACTGCCAAACTTTCCTGGAGTAGCTGCAGCATTTTGCAGTCTTAGCGTTAGCACTGGAGGGGTACACTTCTCTGCATTCTCAGCAGCATGTGATGCTGGTTTGGGATTTTCCAGGTAGTGGCATTTTTATTAGCCATTCTAACAGGTGTGTGCACTTGTAGGTGTGTGCGCTTGTATTTCATCTTGGCTCTCATTTCTGTTTCTCTCACAGCTGAAGATACCGAGCACCTTTTCATGTGCCTGTTTGCCAGATGT